ATATATATATATATATATATATGCATATATATATATACATACATATATATATATATATGCACAGATAGATAGATAGATAGATAGATAGATAGATAGATAGATAGATAGAAGATAGAAACAAAGAAAAGACAAAAAGCATAAAAGTCTCAAGGGTACCGATATATATATATGTTCATATACATACATACATAGATAGATAGATAGATAGATAGATAGATAGATAGATAGATAGATAGATAGGAATTGACCTAGATAGAGATAGCAAGTCAAAGTCACGTGTGTCCATAGATATTCATACTTTTCTTAGAGATATATATACCTCTTTATTTAACTCAATATATATATATATATATATATATATATATATTTGAGTTAAATGAATATGAAGAGGTATTTATATCTCTAATATATATATATATATATATATATATATATATATATATATATATATATATATATATATATATATATAAAAGAGAGAGAAAGAGAGAGGAGAGAGAAAGAGAAAAGGAAAAGAGAGATATGGGCTGTGCGAAGAGAAAGACTGAAATAATCGAAAGTCTCTAATGTGACCAGCGATATAATTACGCTTTTCTGATGCATATATATATATATATATATATATATATATATATATATATATATATACGATATTTGATCCAAAAGTATAGGGAGTGGGGCGATAAGAATAAAAGTACAACACGTGTCTCATTTAACATTTAATCTCCTTCGCAGATTGAGTGCTGGTCTTCATAAAGTAGTGATCGATGTAATATAACAGGGCCATTAAGTATATATTAATAAATATACATATAAATACACTTATTATTCCTCACCGGTAGCCAATCCACGTGTAATATATGGGCTGCATTAAACGAATATATATATATATATATATATATATCGAAAGAGAGAAGTGTACATATTTTTTAAGCATTTCAACCCAAGCAAGGCGGGAATGACACTAACATGCAAGGAGGTACAAAGAGTGTAAATTAGAAAAAAGGGGGTGTTTGAGGCAAGGACGGAGATCAAAATCAAGGCATCAGATGTCGATTGACATTACATTTAAATTTTTGACAATTATAGTTATCAGGGAAGGAAGGAAGAGGAAGGAGTTCCACTGTCGGGAAGCGCGAGAGAAGAAGCTGTTGGACGAGACAGCTATATTTAACTGTATTATGCCAACCGAGTAGCATGCTTAAATTCATTATATATATATATATATATATATATATATATATATATATATATATATATATATATATATGAATAAAAATGACAATAGGAAAACTGGTAATTGCTGACGCGTTTCGTCCAATGTGGACTTTATCAAAGCAAAATAAATAAATTTCGGACCTCGTCCATTTTTAACATATGACGTCATTTGTTTACATTCGATACGCCAGAGCAGTTATGAATGTACGAGATTCATGGAAGATTATAGTTTATAATATATATTATATATATATATATAAGGTATATATGGCCGAGTGGTTAATACGTATATATATACGGTTATATATATATATAGGTTCGAATTATTTATTTGAAAAATATTTTCTATGAAAATTTCTCGACATTCAGGTCTAAATGTTTCAAAACAAGTTTATCATAAAAAGCATTTCAAAATACTTTATTTGAATAAAATTGAATTAAACATAAATAAATATATATTTATATATATATATATATATATATATAAATGGGATTTATATTTTATGTTTAAGATAAACGGGGATTAATATAAAATATAAATCATGTCTTTCTCATATATATATATATATATATATATATATATATATATATATATATATATAGGGCTACTTAAGGGCTATTGTCCTCACCGGGGCGCCATCATGGCTAAAAGTGTCATCATGCCGCCATGTCATCTTTTTGGGATCTTCCAAAAATAAAGCTTATAAAAATATACTTGCGGTCGTCCATCCCTCAAGACATTAAATTCCCTATTTTGGCAATAGCAAATGGTCTTGTAATGAAAAAAGTTGTAGGCAGTGCAATGAAAAGATTTTCAGTTCGAAAGTCTAGGAAAATATTTTTGGTAGGATAATGAATGATTTAAAGAAATCATTCATTATCCTACCAAAAATATATATATATACTGGGTGGGGGGGTGAAGAGAGAATAAAGCAGAGTAAAAGTCTTATATTCAGTTAGCACTTTATATATAAAAGGGAGGATGTCTGTGTGTCTGTCTGTCTAGCTGTATGATACATTTTCACTCGAGATCCATCCAACCGATTTTGACCAACCCTAGTATATACATTTTACAATGTAAGAGATAGATTCTTAGCGTAAAAATTCGATATTTATAAAAAAAATCAATAATCGATAACCTGTTGTAACCTAGAAATGGTTACTGAATGAGGAATAATCAAGACAGAAGTTGGAAATGAAATAGTAATCTTTATAAGATCAACAAAATACAATACTCGCCAGCGGCGTGGAGTAGGTAAACCACTGCTAGTAGTAGACTACTTAGGCAGCATGTTACCCCCGCTTACAATAATGTCCAACGTATTTAGAAGGATTGGGACATAACCATTAGTGTTCACAGGCACGGTATATAACAGTTACTTACATCATGATGAGCTCAACGATACTTCATTTTTATTCCTATGCCACTGCGTTTAGCGAAAAACCGCGAAAAACAAAAAATTGATTTCAACAAAAATCGATTTCAACACAAATTTCCAACTAAAAAATCGTTCAATTTTCAAGAAATCTAATACAAACTTCGCTTAGTTGTAGCCAACAATAAGTTGATTGTTTAACAGGCATTTTAACTTGATGTTTGAGTCCACCCATATAGTGAAAATACGCGTAAATAGCGAAAAGTGGCGATTTTTACTGGTTTTTTTCTTATTTTTCGTTGATCTTTCAACCAATTTTCAACAAACTTAATAATTGCTTTATAAATGTAACCTCTTTTTACATCGCTGGTAGCAAACTGAAAAATTGAATTTCAAAAACTCAAAAATAATTGTGATCTGAAGTGGGTCTTCATGTTGCCTGTTTTAGCCCTTCCTGTTTTCGACTAAATTCGATTGAATAAATAAAGACTACTTCCGTTATAGCAGTAACTTCATTAATTCAAAATGTTTTTTTAATGAAAGTACTTTAAAGTAATTGAAGAAGACTCTGTTACATCTAAACATGATGCTGTTTTTGCTCCATTTTAATTAAACTTTTTTTTGTCAACCAGCTGGATATGGTTGATAGTATTGGAATAAATTCGTTATTCTACATTTTCAGTTTTCCTCCTTGTGAAAATTTTTAAAAAATTATACTTGCAAGTGCGCCAAAGCTCATCTTTATTAGAGTGCCTGCATGTCTAGGGCCTTACTGGTACTCACCCCAGCCCCCCGCATTGTGTAAACAATAACTACCATAAATAAATTATATATATATATATATATATATATATATATATATATATATATATATATATATATATATATATAAACTGAAAAATGTCAAATGAATATATATATATATATATATATATATATATATATATATATATACATGTTTCATTAAATAATATAGACAAATGTTGTCTATTTATTTTATGTAAATTCTTTTCATATCGTCTGATAAGCTTAATAATATTATCATCAAACGAGGAAAGAAAATCACCATATTGATACATATTTTTAATCCTATCTAAGCTTTCGGCTTACATAAGCCATTATCAAAGATGGCAATTACATTACAATATATCATGCAATAAACGGACAAGACAGTGATGATAGTATGTTTCTGTATACATGGAAGATTTCCAAGCAACGACAAACTCGTGCATATAGGACGCTGGAAGCGAAAATCGCACCGCAGCGCATGACGTCACACATGACCACGCGAGAGTGAATTCGAGAATATTAAGTATGGGAAGCCGTTGGTATAAACCAATGGCTTCTGTTACCAATTATAGGCATTTAAGAATATTTGTATAAACACACACACACACACACATACACATATATATATATATATATATATATATATATATATATATATATATATATATATATATATATATATGAAATAGGAGGCACGGTGGATTAATGGATAGCAACTTGGATTGAGGAATCGCAGTCGAATCCATTACATTCACTTGCGTGCTAATACCCTTGGGAAAGGTATGAATCCTCTTCTTCTCCCTCCGGTTATGGGTAAAATAGCAGGGCAGACTGGGTTCTATAGCCTTGGATGGCAACTGGTCTAGGAGAAGGACAACTCTGAATTCAAAACCTGCAAAACCTTGTGTCACTCGGTGCACCAGGTCTCTGAATTCGTCCCTTCAAAAAGTGTGGATGGTCCTGTACGAAGCCTTCACCACTATAATCAAATCTCATGTGCCGGTGTCGGGCTGTCGGTTTCCTGGAAAACTGATCTGCTTGACCCTCATACGTCGAATCTCGACGGGAGAGTCGACTACGACTATATATATAAATATATTTAATGGGTTTTTCAATTCGACATTATTTCTTATTATTATAAACGTTATTTTAAGTGGGTGAACGTGTTTGACTTGCTTTCCCGATATTTTTATCTTCTTAATGAAATTAATAACAACCGGAAGTATTTTAAACTCTAACCTAAAGAACTGTAACGGAAGTTGATGCTGATCTTCTTTCTGAGACTTCCTTTTTCTTCCTCATTCTTGTACGCGACAGTTGACTGGGTTTAGAAGCAATAAATAAGTGCGTATAATCCGATAATGTTCTAATTCAATAAGTATTCTTTCATTTTATGAAAGATGACACTCGGGAACTTTTATGTCAATTTAGTATTGTGACACATAAAAGTTAAATGAAACTTTCTAACTTCCATTTTGTATTTCGCTTTGTCTATCAGACGGTAAGTACGATCTTTGTTTCTCCTAAGACTTTAAGTCTCATTAAAGTTTCAATAACATAACAAATCGAAAACTGTAACAAAACAAGAAAGAAAGAAAGAAAGAAAGAAAGAATGAATTAGTGAATGAATGAATAAAGAAAGAACGCCAAGTTAAGAAAGAATTTAAAAAATAAGAAAAAAAGAATGTCAAAATGAATGAAAAAGGCAGGAACAAAAGAAAGATGGCGAAAATGAAGAAAGAAAAAAAGAAAGAAAGAAAAAGAAAATTGGACACTATGAAGAAAGAACGCAGTCAAAAGAAAGAATAAATGAATGAATTAAAAACAAAATGAATAAAGTAAGAAGGCAGAGTAAAAAGAGAGAGAAAGAAAGATAAAAGGCTAAAAGAAAGAAAGAAGAAAGTAGGGTAGAAAGAAAGAAAGAAAGAAAGATGGCGAAAATGAAGAAAGAAAAAAGAAAGAAAGAAAAAGAAAATTGGACACTATGAAGAAAGAACGCAGTCAAAAGAAATAATAAATGAATTAATTAAAAACAAAATGAATAAAGTAAGAAGGCAGAGTAAAAAAGAGAGAAAGAAAGATAAAAGACTAAAAGAAAGAAAGAAAGAAAGATGGCGAAAATTAAGAAAGAAAAAAGAAGGAAAGAAAAAGAAAATTGGACACAATGAAGAAAGAACGCAGTCAAAAGAAATAATAAATGAATTAATTAAAAACAAAATGAATAAAGTAAGAAGGCAGAGTAAAAAAAAAGAGAAAGAAAAATAAAAGGCTAAAAGGAAGAAAGACGAAAGCAGGGTAGAAAGAAAGAAAGAAAGAAAGAAAGAAAGAAAGAAAGAAAGAAAGAAAGAAAGACCAAAATGAAGAAAGAAGACAGAGCTAAAATCAAAGAAAGAATGAATGCATGATTAAAAGACAAAATGCATAAAGGAAGGAGGCAGAGTAAAAAATGAGAAAGAAAGATAGACGGTTAAATTCGAAGAAAGAAGGCAGAATTGAAAGAAAGAAAGAAAGAAAGAAAGAAAGAAAGAAAGAAAGAAAGCCAAAATGAAGAAAGAAGACAAAGTAAAAAAAGAAAGAATGAATGCCTAAATGAAAGATAAAATGACTAAAGAAAGAAAGCAAAGATGAAGTAAAAAGAAAATAAGAAAAAATCATGAAAAAATAAGCAATGAAAAACAGGAAAATGATGGAAAAGAAAGAAAGACACGAAAGAAACAAGTTCATAATCAGCAAAAAAATGTTCAAACGGATCACATGAAATTAAACAGAAAGAAAAAAATAAATAAAAATGAAAAAAAGAAAAGCTAAAAAAAAGTTAGGGAAAGAAAGTAGACCATAAAGAAAGAAAGAAAGAAAGAAAGAAAGAAACAACAAACAAACAAAGAAGTAAAAAATGACATGCTCGAAAGGAAGAAAGGTGGTGAAAATTTAGAAAAACGAAAACACAGAAGAAAGAAAGAAAGAAAGCAACCGAAAATGAGGAAAAAAAATTCAAAATGAATAAAGAATGAATGAATAATAATCAAATGAATAAAGAAAGAAAGAAAGAAAGAAAGAAAGAAGTAAAAAGATGACATGTTCGAAAGGAAGAAAAATGGTCAAAATTAAGAAAGAAAGAAAGAAAGAAAGAAATAAAGAAAGAAAGAAAGAATGATCAAATAAAGAAAGAAGGCAAAATAAAAAGAAAGAATCTTGACCAATAAAGATTAAGCTCAATAAAATAACAGTAAACTTATGGGAAAGAAAGAAACAAAACAAAATTAGGGTCAGCAATAGAAAATATATTTAATAAAGAAAGACTTGAAATTAAACAGAAAGAAAAAGATGAATGAAAAATAAGAAAAGAAGAAAAACTAAAAACAAATGTGTGCGAAAGAAAATAAACGAAACATGAAGAAAGAAAGAAAGAAAGAAAGAAAGAAAGAAAGAAACAAACAAACAAATAAACAAATAAAGAAAGAAAGAAAAAAAAAGAATGAAAAGAAAAGCAAGAAATGAAAAGAGAAAGCCAAAAATGAAAAGGAAATGAAGGAAGAATAGTTAAGGCCAAAGGTAAAGAATAATTGATTATAAAATAAAGGGAAAAAAAAAGCGCTTGCTTTTCTTTTGCCGTTATCAGAATAAATTTAAACCTATGGACTCAAAAACGAAACAAGGCAAAATGAACAATTCTGAAAGGAGAATGGATATAAGTCAATAATGAACAAATCCCCAAAAGAAAAGAAGAAAGAAAGAGAAACAATGAACGAGATGATAAAAAGAGAGATGGAAAAAGAGGGAAGGGGAGGGAGAGAGAGCGGTAACCAAAGAAAGCGATAAAGACGCTAATGCACTATCAAAATTGAAGCTGCTTAAAATGTCAGTCTCTTGTAGAGCCTTTTAAACGATCGTTCTGTCTCCCGCCCCGAGTGTAAGCCATTGGGAAACTCACTCCCTCACATCAAACATAACACCTCAATAAATTAGTCCGACCTTACTTCTGTCAGTCAGCTTGTTACACTAATATTAATCATAAAAATACACGCACAACAAACACTTGCATGCACGAATCGACAAGTCTGCATTCAGGCTTGCACTTACATACACATGCGCTTGGCTTCTGGTTGAATCACTCTAAAAGCACAAGTTCTTGTCTGATTATCGAAATTAAGCAGCAATGAGCCTTTCTTTTTAGATTTTTTTTTTAAACTAAAATTCACCTAATACTAGCTTGAGAAACACTCGTGGTAGAATGTCCCTGCTAAAATGGTAATAAATATAGCTTGTGATATGAATGAAAGTGAGTGTGGTAGGTCGTGGAGATTATGAGGATGAGGAAAAATAACAATTGACTCATAACTTTAAGTGGTCAAGATTGTATTGTTCGAGTACCAACACCGGAGTCTATTCGACAAAATGTCACTTCTTTCGAACTTTTGTTAGTGAACCACTGTTCCAAGAAACTTCATAGACTGTATCAACAAAAGATGGTTTCTTTTTTCTTATTTATTTTATTATGAGAGAGGGACAGACGTGATAGCATCGATGTTCGGAGATGCCGGGAGGAAGAACTTCAGGGGAATGCATGCCTACTTGTTGGCTTAGCATTCCGCCATGTAACGACAAGCCTCTCTAAGACAGTGGTTCCCAAACATTATTTTTTTCTAAGGGCCTAATTTTCTGAATGAAAATTTGGTCGCGTCTTACGAAATTTTATGTGATAAAAAGTACATTTAAAAATAAAAATAAAAAACAAAGAGATGGTTGAAGGGAGATAACCGCGGATTCGAAGTCAAAAAGTTATCATTGATAACTCTCTATTCCAACTTGCAGACCCTGTTTAATTTATACTCATTTTTTTTTTTTAATGTTTTTCAATCTTTGATTGTTTTTCAATCGTTCCGCCTCACCTGCTATCCTTTTCGCCGTACCTATGAGGCGCTCTGTGCCATTTGGGAACCACTGCTCTAAGGGATCTGGGTGAGGAAATTGTGCTGACATTTCAACAACGAGGTATTCTGACCAATCGCTTGCCATCCTGGCCCAAACTCCGCATTCTGTAATAGAATAAAGTTAATACGCTATTCCAGAAGGGAAACTACCCACCTATAGAATGTTTTGCATGATGTTCAATAAATTCTCTGTCTGACATGATCACCACATCTTATTGATCGTGTATGAAACATTCAGTTAGCTAAAGTCATACAATTTCCATACTGCGCCTTCAGGTTCAAGAGGCATAAAATAATGTATTACAGGATTGTATTTGTCGTCTGTACAATCAAAAGTCCTCTGATGAATCATTCTCCTTATATTTGGGATTTTACTTTGTGGAAGTTGCATGGTGTATCTCAGCTATAAAGCTTTGAGCTGGCGAACTTTTGTGATGTCAACGAACATTCGTTGCCACTTTTGTAAAGCCAACAACTACTCGTTGTCACTTTCGTAATGCTCTTTGTAGTAGAAACTTTGCAATCGCAGATACAACTATAGTACGCTGTTAAACAATACTGGTGTTAGACGCCTTCGAATAACACTCGCACTAATAGTACTTGCTCGAATAGTAATCTGTATAGTGATCTGAATAGAAAAATAGTCTAGTAAAAAGAGTATAGAATAGCGGTTCTTTTAGTAATAGAGGACATAGTAGAAATGGCGATCCGAATAGTAATAGAGGATAGACTAGAAATGGCGATCCATTAGATACACGCTACCACCCATATATCTGGTTCTTCTATGGTCACATGGTCTACTTAATTCAATAATCGGATCGCCTGTGTCTGCTCACTGGCGATCTATGTTCAAACTCAAGTGTCGGCATTCCTATATTGAGTTTCCAAGCGTAACTTAGATGTGGCACAAGGCCGAAAATAGGGGCACCCAGTGAGGATCGAACTCACTACTTGAATATATGTTTTATAGATAAAAATAACAATTAATTAATAGGTAGGTACAAATACGCGTGTAGGTTAATTTTACGATATATCAACACTTCTTGGAGTATTTAATGTCAAATATAAGCTTTATAGATTAAAAATCACAATTACCTAATAGATGGATACACATAGGTAGGTTGGTTAATTTACCGACATATCAATCCTTGTTTGTTTATTTAATTTTGTATTGATGACTTATAAGACAGAAATCCAACTGAATCAATAGATAGTGGGCACAGGTTTATTTATCTATAAGGGCAGTTTGTACTTAACTGAAAAGATAAACAAACATTGGTCGGTTTTATACCCACGTCTTCAAATATTTAATGCGTGTAGGGTTTTCAGGACATGTTATGTATTCTCGGCTTCGCCGACTGGGCAACTGAATTCAGAGTTGTCCTTCTTCTAATGTCGTTACCATCTAAGTCTTGACGTCTCAGTTTGCTCGATTATTTAATCCATAGCGACAATACTTTTTTGTTAAATGAGTTCGTACTTTTCCCAAGAGGCTTAATGTGAAATGAGTACAAACAGTTTTTTCCAACTGAAACCGCTACATCTGTGTGCCGCGTTTTTTGGGTTTTTTTTGCTTTTTTTGTGTTTGTTTGTTTGTTTTTTTTTTTTTGTTTTTTGTTTTGTTTTTTTTGTTTTTGTGAAGGTCCTTAATCTATAGCAATAAACGTCATAAAGGCTCTTTTTCCCAAGGACTAAAAACCTTCCCCTTAAAAACTCTCCTAATACTAATTTCTCCCTATATCACCTTTAGTATTAGGAGAGGTTTTGAGGGAAAGTTGAGAGAAAAAGAAAGGGTGAAAAGTTTAAAACTTTTCTCATTAAACATGACAAATGAAATGATCAAGAAAACAGCGTATTAAAATAAAACTAACAACAATAACTGACCCTTTCTTAAAATTCCTTTATAATTTCTCTTGTCGCCAAATACACTCCATCCCGACATTTTATTTCTTCTTCATTTTAATCAACTTTCAATTCTCTGCTTTAGTCGATATTTTTTTACATTCCTTTTTATCGCTTTTTAGTCCGGCTCCACTTTTTTTCTTTATATCCTGTCGTCTGTATTTCGTTTCGTTTGGTTCATCACCTTAAATTTTTATTTTTATTTTATTTTATTTTCTCCCATTTCTTCTTTGTCTCCTTTTTTTATTCTTGCATCCTTCTTACTTCTTCTTTTCCTTCTCGTAATCTCACTCTCAATTTCGGCATTTCCTCCATTCATTTTTTTTATCCACCCTTCTTTCAGTTCTCCTCTTCCTTCTTCTGGTACTTTTCCTCCTCCTGTCAGTTCTCCTCTTCCTACACCCTTTAGTTCTTTTTTTTTTTACTTTCAATTCTTCTCTTCCTCCTACTTTTCTTTCCCTTCCTCCTATCAGTTTTCCCCCTTCTCTTCCTATTCACATCCTCTTGTAAGTTCTCTTTCTCCACCTCTCATTACTTCTCCTCCATCCCTTTAAATTCTCCACTTCCTTCTGTCAATTCTCCTATGCATCCTGGTATTTCTCTCCCTCCTGTCAATTCAACTCTTCCTTTTATTTCCCTTCCTTCAACATTTAATTTTCCTCTTTCTCTTCCTATTTTTACTCATCTTACCAATTCTCCTCTTACCATTACATTTGTTTCTCCTCCTCTTGTCAATTCTTCTCTTCCTCTTTCTCCTCCTCCTATTTTTCATCCTCTTTTCAATATTCCCCTTTCACCTCATTTTATTTCTTCTTCCCCTGTCAATGTTCCTCTTAGTCCACCTATTTTCCCCCTTTTTGTTAGACATTTTGACGGTCGTCTTCGAGTATAGAATCCAGAGGTTGGCAGTGACTATTTCGGAGACAGTAGGAAAGGGCAGTTCAGGTTCGCAGTGGATATCGTAGCAAAGTAGCAAAGCGTAGTTCTTCCTTCTATCATGTTCGCCTGTCAAGTTGGCACTGGTCTTTCCGGTAGAATAAACAAAAATGGCCGCCTTTATACACGACGGATACAATGTTCTTCGGCTTCTGATTGGTTAACCTTCTATTGGTAGACTATAAAGGAACTTAAGTCATTTGGATTGGCTCACTAGTTACATATACCCAAAAAAACGTAACACTTTTTAGTTCCCCTATTTTTTCACCTCTCATCCCATGCTTTTAAACTCTTCATTTCCTTATATCAATTCTCCTCCGACTGCTGTCACTTTCCCTCTTCCTCTTTCATTTACTCCTCCTTCTCTCGTCAATTCTCTAATTCCTCTTACTATAATTCATATTCTTCTACTTCCTGTTCTCTACACACGGTCAATTCTCCTCTTTCTCCTTCTTTTATTTCTCCTCCTCGTCTTTATCCTCTTTTTTTTATTTCTTCGCCCCTACTCCTTTTAATTCAGTTCTTTCTTCTTGTTTTAAATTCCCCCGTCTTTCATTATCTGTCTTCTTTCTTCTCCTCATTTACCACTTCCGATTTTCAGTTCTACTCTTATATACGCTTTTTCCTCTTTTAAATTTCCGCTTCCCTCTCTTTTCAATTTTCCATTTCTTTTCTTTTTTTTATTCTGCTCTTGCTTACAACTATCATCTGAACTTAGTTTATATAAAAAGAAAATAAAAAAACATTTTGTTTCTTTTATAATGCTTACAATTTTTCGTAATAAATATTCGACCAATACAAGCTCCAGAGCCACTCAAGACAGCGGTGGATAGCGGCTCGGACTGAGGAATCGGAGAGCCGAGTTCGAATTCCAGTCGAATCCATTACATTCACTGACGTGCTAATATCCTTGGGAAAGCTATGAATCCTCTTCTTCTCCCCACGGCTATGAGTAAATATCAGGACAGACCGTGTTGTATAGCAACCGTGTCCCCACAGCTATGGGTAAATTTCAGGCAACTAAATTTCAGGTTAGATGGCAACTAGTCTACAATTTTCAGAAAAAAATGGCAACCTACTGTGGGAAAAATCTGCCTCGTCAGTCATGTATCGAACGATACTTGATCGCCTAAGCGTGTATAACGCATAGAACATAACTGACTGAAATTCATTTACGTGATAATACCCTTTAGCAATTTGCCCATAGCTGGGACCTTAACAGGTGCTACCAACTTGGGTCAGTGTAGACAACAACAGCAGCAATTAAGAGATGGTCCCATGCTCCTCAAAACTTCCCGATCAGAGGCCTTGCTACCCGAAGTAGTTTATCGTCATACCCAGGACGCACATTTTCCATAAAAATAACGATAGTGTAGCGAAAGGCTCGAGACACTTCGTCTGTGGGAGTCTTAAATGAGTTCATTACGAGGTGGTAAATTGAACTTCAGTTCAACCCCTGATATGGCACCAGTACTCCATTTTTGGTCTGATCAGGATCTTGAAAAGAAAGAGCATATCGGAAGGAATAAGGTACTTTCTTTGAGCAGTAAAAGACATCGAACTTTTTCAACGTCCTTAATAATACTTGTTTTAATATTTTGGTTCTATAGGAGTAGATGTTTTTTGGTCTGCTCCTTCGGGGTCTTTTGAAAAGTAGTAAACGACGGAACCAGCCAATCATATTCAGTGAAGGAACACTATATTTTTATCAAATAGTTATATCAAGATTTACTAAAAAAAAGAATTTTAGAAATAAAATATATACGTCCTGAAACTTTAATTATCCTTCCTGGTCTTTTTGAACATGAATAGAGTTTTATCCCTTGTTTTGCTTAGGATCTAAAATTTCAACTCTATAGTTTAATCCGACTAAACCCTGAAATTTTATTTACTAATTATTTTTGTTTCTATATTTTTCGTTCTATAAAAGTAGATGACCTATCGTCCGCTTACGCCCTTTCGGTCTTTTTGAAAAATGGATTATCCTTTATTTAAGTTATATTTAAAACGATGGGATATCAGGTCATCCCAGTTTACCGTGGGTTCTCTGTCCGAATTTTTGAATATAAACGGGTTCAGGGAAACAAGTCTTTGACCAAATTGTTAAAGCCTTTCAGGTTCCAGATGCTCAATAGAAGTAATGAATGTTTGGCATTTTCCTTTATTTATTTCTGTTTAGGATTTGGTTTCCTCTTCCTTGACTTCTTTCAATCCAAGTAGGCACTTCTTCTTCTCAATCCAAGTAGGCACGTGCATCTTAGTAGCATTTTCACTTTGTTTAGGGCGTGTTGATTAAAAAGAAAAAAGCGTTTAAGACCTATCAAATGGGTGTATAAACCTACATGTACGATCAACGGTCATTTTTAGTCGTATTTCTATAGGATGACGGTGTTATCATCAGATTGTTTTTAATGGGTAAAGGCAGTTTTTGTGGTCCTCGAGATGTTATTTTATGGCACTGATATCACTTCAGTCCTGTACCCGGCGACGCCCTGTCATCACAGCAAAAGCTACATACAAGCGGCGACAGTCTGTTTCCCATGCACGCAATCTATATGTTCCTTTTGCGGTCTGAGGTGATCTTGACTCGCAACTGCTGTTCAAGGCAAGAAGCTTCCTTCAGAGAAAAATAAAACTTCAGGGTCTGATCGGCGATGTTTAAATGTTAAGCTTGGTTTTCGGAGGACACTGAGCTGTTAGAGTTAGATCAGATGAGAGAGCAGCTGCGAAACAACGTACACCATTTTTGTGTTCAAATTATTAAAAAGAAAAACTGCACTATATTTTTTAATATTACGAATATAAATATTTTAATCAGTTATATCAACACGTTAGTTTAATTCCCTGAGCTTTGCTATAAGATCATATTAAAATGGTAATAAGATAACAAAACGATAATATCAGGTCATCCCATAAGTTCTGTCCGAATTTTGAATAAAGAAAACAAGTGACCAAATGTTACATTTCATTACAGATTCAATCAACAATGTGTTTTCCCTGATTATCTATGACTTCCTTCCATTTATTAACAAGCTTACTAATTCCATTACTGTAAAATTCTTTTGGCTTTGATTCGAAGAAGTCACAAATGTCAGTTTTAACCTCTTCCTGTGTTACAAAAGCTGTTTCTTCCAAATGATTCTGTAAGCTACGAAACAAATGGTAGTCTGAAGAAGCAAGATCGGGAGAATAAGGTGGATGAAGAATTTTCTCCCAACCAAATTCTTCAATCTTTTGTGATGTGATTCTTGCTGTGTGGGGTCGCGCATTGTCCTAATGAAACATTACCTCTTTTCGATTCACTAGAGCAGGTCTTTTTTAACTCAAAGCTTGGTTCAAACGCTCTAATTTCTGACAGTACATTTGAGCATTAATTGTTGCATTAGGTGGTAAGAATTCAAAGTGGATTATTCCTTGGCAATCCCACCAGATTGAAAGAAGAATCTTTTGCCCATGAAGTTCCCTTCTCGGCTGTGGCTGGGGTCCTTCCCCTTTACCAAGCCACTGTCTATGACGCTTAACATTTCGATAAAATATCCATTTTCGTCGCCAGTCAAAAGTATATCCAAAAAAGGTGAAACAAATTGGCGAGAATGGAGAGAAGAGCAGATGTCAACTCGAGATTTGAGGTTGTTTTCAGACAATTCATGAGGCACCCATTTTCCCAGTTTAGGAACTTTTCCAAGTTGTTGAAGATGACGATGAACAGTTGTATGGTTTGAACTGAGAACCACTGCCAATTCCTCAACTGATAAAGCAGGATTTTCTTCAAGGGCTGCTTCAAGAAGCTTTTTCATCAACTGGACGTCCGGTTCGATCTTCATCTTCAAGGGTGAAATCTCCACCTCTGAATTTTGCAAACCATCTTCTGCAAGTTCTTTCATTCACACATTCTTCTCCATAAACTGAGTGAATGTTTCTAGCCGCTTCGGCTGCTGAGTTTCCTTTCTTGAACTCATAATGCATTATGTGCCTCAAATGATTCTAAGGTACTTCCATGTTAGCAGGGTTTTAATCAAACAAAATTTTATTTTATTGTTCTCTGAAATAAAGTTTGATCAGTTTAAATGCATCTAAACTTAAAAATAATGTTCAGCTCCATTAGACATTATAAAATACTCTTTAAATTTCGTTCATTTTAACAAAAAGTTTAAATTCAGACAGAACTTATGGGATGACCTGATAGTAATATTAGTCGTTTCCTTATAAGCAAACATTCGGCATTCTTTGACCGAGCAGCCAGTGCCTGTGTTGGTTGAAATTTATAAAAACAGAATAGATTCCTCAAGTTTATCGCTCTTTCCAGTATAAATGGGAGCTTCCTTCCTAACTTATTGCTTAAAGTAGTATAGAATATCAACATCTTAATTATACCATTATATTCTCTTCGAGTTCCCTCTGATATCCATTTCAGTAGTTGCTTCTGTTGGTAGTCCTCAAATGATGTGGTTTCTGTTACTTGGTACAGTTCTTTGTGTGTGATTCTGTAGCGCCAGTTCAACATGTTTCGTTAGCTTAAAACCATTTTGAACAATTGATCTGAAAAAGCCTGTTGTATGCATCGAACAGTTTAATTATTTCTGAACAGATATGGTGCCATGCCTGACCAAAATGAAAATCTATTTAAGAATATGGATCGATTTTTCAAGTTATGTTTTGTTTTTATAGCAATCGGAATTGGTCAAGACAAATTCCATGTTCAATTTTCTTATCTCCTATACTGAATTTGTTAGAAACCAAAATATTTGAAGTGTTGGGGATATATTAAAAACACACGATAAAAAAGAGCAGAATAATTGAGATTAGATTTTGAGGGGCTAATTTGGCGATGGACAAGAGAATACACAAAAGCTTCTAAAATTGCAAAGAACTCATGAGCAAAAAGCAAGAGAAAAAACAATTTTAGAAGAAATTTGATCGGGAAATTTTATCGTTTAATCGATATGTGTTAATCAAACAGAAACCGACGTAAATGAATTAAAACTAGTCGTCAATACAAGGAATTATATTTCCCTGTTAAATGTTTCTGATAAAATTAGGGAAAATTAAGAACATTGGCTGTTGTCTTTTGGAGTCACATTGGAGTAATGGATAACGGCTTGCAATGAGAAATTGGAATGCCAAGTTCGAATTCCAGTCGAGGTCATTACATTCACTTACGCGCTAATACTCCCTTGGAAAGGTATAAAAACATGGAAGCTATGGGTAAGTAGCAGGACAGACCGGGTTCTGTAGCCTTGTTGGTAAACCGGACTAGGAGAAGGAAAAACTCTGAATTCAAAACCAGCCTGGAGATGGCTGGGCAGCGTCAGGCTATCTTGCTCAAAAAACAACGCTGCTACTGCGATGACAGTATATATTGTGCTCTTACGTCCCCAATAGGGTTATGGCTTTCGGGATCGTGTCTTTTCGTCAAGCAACGATTTATTTTATGTATTCTAGATCAACTCATTTTAGCGCAACTACTTTTTCCTCTTCTTCCTCCTCTTCCACTTCTTCATTCGCTACTTCTTTTGATTTTTATTCTCCTCCACCACGTGCTCTTTTTCATTCCTTTTTCCTTCCTTTCTCGAATTCTTTTCGAATTTGTTATTTTCATTGTTTTTCTTTTTCTTTTAATTCCCTCTTTTTTCCTTCGTCTCTTTTCTTAGCTTTTTTCTTTTCCTTCCCTTTCTTTTTGTTCATTTCTTCTTCTTTTTTTTCATTATTTTTCTTTCTTGCCTTTCTTTTTCTTCTTCTTCATTCGCCAATACTTTTGCTTTTTATTCATTTTTATTATTATGCTATTCCTTTCCTTACCCCCCCCCCACCACCACTTCCCTTCATTTCTTGATTTTTATTTATTTATTTTTTGTTTGTTTACGACGTTCCTTCTTTCTTTCCATTTCTAGCTATTTATTTCTTCATTTTCTTCACCCTTTCTTTTTATTCTGAGTGTGCTTTTTCTTCTCTTTTTTTTCTTTCTACCGTCTTTTCGTTTCTTTTTCTCTATAATAACTTGCTCCAGCACCGATAATCCGCTTTCCTAGATTCCACCCCCGCACATCCACCACCACCACGTTACACTTTAAAAGGTCGGAGGTCGTGCAAATACTACTCTATGTGCATTTGCAACAAAAGTACCGTAAGCAGTTTTAATAAATTCGGTATAGAAACGCCTTTATGCCATGGGAAGATGTTAATATTTAATAAAGGTAACTTTTGGCAAAAGGCCACAAGTAGGTGAGCACCAATGGGGATCGAATTCACTATACAGAATTTATGCTCTCAAGTATTTAGTAAAGACAAATAAAATTTAGGCACAAGGCCAAAATATGGGGTAGTTAGAGATGGTGTTAACCTAATATATATTCAAAAGTTTAGAGTCTTTAAAGTTTATTTGAACTTCTATGAATTATTCCAGAATTGTTAAATTTATATTTCGTAGTTTGACAGTGGGTCAGTATTCTTTTCTTTTTCTTTGTTGAAATTATCCTTTTTCTTTGTTTAGCTTCCAGTAGGCATCTTTCCTATTCCTGTGCGCCTTAGAGGCCCCGTTTCACAAACATCTGTAAATGTTTGAATTTAAAGTCTTAGCAGACATTTTGGGCTGTCTCACTCTTTACATACTTAAATAATCATATTTATTATAAAACCCAGGTTGTGTGTGTGTGTGTGTGTGTGTGTGTGTGTGTGTGTGTGTTATATATTGGATGTGAATTTCGTTTATATACATTTTTCAACCGATTTCAACAAAACTTCACAGGACTACGTAAAATTACCTTTGCGTTGGTTCTGACAGCACAAAAAATTGGAAAAATGCAATTGATTTTGCACGAAATTAATTTGAAAACACGATTAAGAGGCATTAGTGAAAGAGGGACAACTCATATCGAGTTATACTTATTATAAAACCCAGGTCGGTTGTTTCTCTCTCTCTCTCTCTGTGTGTGTGTGTGTGTGTGTGTGTGTGTGTGTGTGTGTGTGTGTGTGTGTGTGTGTGTGTGTGTGTGTGTGTGTGTTTATATATGGGATCGGATTTCCTACATTTTTCAACCGATTTCAACAAAACTTCACTTTTTTCGGCAGGTAGTGTTTCTTATTGTCTTGCACACTTTTTTCTTAATTTTTTATATTCAGAATGCTTTAAAAATTCCATTTACAAGACAATTGTTTATAATAAAATTCTATTCAATCGGTAGACTCATAATGATTGAAAACAATGTTTTGTTTGAGTTTGGGTTTGACCAATTCGTAAAAAAAAAAAAAAAAAAAATTAAGACTTGCTTGCGTGTCGGTCAACCTTAAGCAATAATCTTTGTAAATTTTTTTTTCAGTCTTTATGATGATCGATACTTGATCTATCTCTTACTGTTACATCCCCGGGCAACGCCGGGCTCTACTGCTAGTATTTAAATATAAATTTAAAAAAAAATTGTGACCTAGTAATATACATACTTATACTTGATATGAAAATAATTTTACATACTGTAAGTGATTATAATACATTTACTTGATTTAAAAAGAAATATAGTATATTAAAAATTAAAAGTGGAATTTTTTTTAAAAAATCGTGGTTAAATAAAACGTATTCTAACCTAAACATCCCCCAAAAATCTTTAAGGATACAAATAGGAAAAAAAAATGGTGTAAGAACTGTTGCCGTTAATAATAAGTTTTTAAAAAATGCAGACGACATGCATTTAACGGATGTCAGAATTCATTGAAAAATACATCCCTACCCCTACCAAAACGTAACTAATAACTGATACATCAAAATACAGCGATAATGAACACGTAAACACCCCTTGTCTAGATGAATGGATTTCTCTGTATCCTTGAAAACGTGAATTATGAATTGTTGCAGTGACTTTAAAACCCAGTAATAAGTTACTCCAAAATTCGTTTGAGGATGAAATGGAACTAATGTCTTTAATTTAATTACAAAATTAAATTCAAAGCTTTTAGCTTCCATTTTTGAAACATGGTTAGAACTGTGTAGTGAAAAAAAACATATTTTAAATCAATTAATTTATAATATTAATGCTCTGTAAATTTACATTAAGCACTATTTTGTAAAAATAAAAATATCTATAAGAACACCGGATTATATATCTTACTGTTCTTTTTATATATATATATATATATATATATATATATATATATATATATATATATAGGGTGCATCAAATATACGTTTACAAACTTTGGGTTGATTTCCTGATATCAAAACAAAGTAAAATACCAATATAAACATATGTCCAAAAAACCATCGTTGTATCGCAACAGAAACTCATAACAAATGTTAAAAAATGTCCTTTGCTTGCTTCTGCACCGACTTGCACCCGTCGGATCATTGACTGGTTGACCCTTTCAAATAGGCCCACACGGTGTCGAATGGTTTAACAGGTCCCCATGACACATTGATGGACCGTCTCTGCCTTATTAATGTCCGCTGCATAGACTAATTTTTAGGTGGCCCCACTAATAAAAATCCAAACGAACGTGCCGGCTATGGAAGCGGTCCTCCCTTACCTATCCAACTTTCATGGTAGATGTTAACCAGTGCATCGCAAACAATGTGGCCAAAATGTGTTGGAGCCTCCAAGGTGGAAAAAATGAAACCAAGTTTTAAAACCATTATAATGAAAAGTACGCAACAACAAATTTTTAAATAAATGTGTAAAAACAAAATAGGGTTTATGAAATTGCAAAAATTTCAATTGTTCCTCCATTTTGTTGCATAAACAAGGTTGTACGTTTGATCAAATTACTGACAGACTATCCATGACTTGAGAATTGCGCTCAGCTTCTAAAGGATGTCTCCCAATTCAAGGAATATCATGCTGTGTCTTTGTGGTTTCAGACCTTTCTTCCAGGAGAATGAAGCAGTAACGATGAGAGCTTATAAAACAAGGAACAATTTAAAACAGGATCCATTTGCTCTATCAACAATTACTCGTCTGATAAAAAATTTTGATAAGATTTCTCGAACATTCAAGCCGGTAGACGAAAATAAATAAACATACTGTTTAATAAATAAATGGTGGGTCTATTCAAATAAGAGTATCCACTAAAAATTACGTTTAAATAGATAAACAATCTGTCGGATTACTAAAAATCCATTACTTAGGGATTCGTAAGTGCAACAAAGAATTAAGAATGTGAACAACTACGTTTACGCACATGCGCATATATGCAAACACAGATATTCACACGCATTAAGTGATTCGGTGTAGACTGATTAATGTCATTGGGATAAAATATGTCCGGGACGCTTCACTGGCATCCGATTTCGCGTCAATCATTTGTCAATGACACCTCTGCTCCGAAACGACTCCCAAGATATCTTCTGGAAGTTTCTCACTATTTTCCTCCTTTTCCCACTACTACTGCTACGAATATGCCTCCCTGTCTCCCTCTAACACATTTTTTCACCCTCTTCTCTTTCTTCTTCCTCTCCTTCTCCTCTTCCTTCTCCTCCACCTCCTCCTCTTTCTTGTTCTTGCTCTTGTTTTTGTTCTTCTTGTTCTCCTCCTCCACCTCCTCCTCCTTCTTCTTTTTGGTGCTGTTTCTTCTTCTTCTTCTTCTTCTTCTTCCATAGTAGTGTATACCCACCTGGTTATGGTCAGGAAACCCACAAGCAAATCTGTTGTACTGAACGGGATATTTACTGTAGTTAATATTCATTCCCCTAAGATAAAGCATTATTTTTTTTTTTTTTTTTACTAATATTCATTCAATACAAGGCCCAAGAGCCATTCAAGGTAGAGGGTTACTGTGTGGAGCTATATTAGCATAAAGGCAAGCGTTAGGACCATAGAGCTGGAGCAGACTTTAGAAAAAACCGGAAACCAAACCCTAAACTAGAAATGGACTTTGTTAATACTTACAGTTAAGACCAGAAGCCATGTATGGTACAGTGTCATCCTTACTTTATTACGAGTTTTACTTCATTTTGCTAATGTCATTCAGCTGACAGTCTTATATTCTTCTTCTTGTCCGTGCTGTGTATTTAGAGGTGACTCTCACATCACATTGGCTGCCTCTTCCATAAATAAACCTTAAGAAAAATACCTTCTTGGCACCCGGTCATGGCTCCCCACTACTTCCGCCCATAAACAGAGATTCGCAGAGCGCCATTCCGTAAATGACCTACCAACTCGTTATGGTCAGACAACTGACAACGAAATCTCCGCCAACTACTCCCGCTCATGAACAGAGATTCACAAATCCTCAGCACATGGTGGGCATACCCAACTTGTTATGATCAAGAAACTCACAAGCAAATCTCTTGTACTGTGTTCATTTTCATTCCCCAATATAAAACGTTTCTTTCTTTTTTTTACTAATATTCACATAATACAAGACCCAAGAGCCACTCAAGGTAGAGGGTTACTGTGTGGAGTTATATTAGCATAAGAAAGTACAATCGTTAGAAGTATAGGGCAGACATTAGAAGGAACCGGAAACCCAGAAAATGTACCTGTTTGAAAGCCATGCTTGGTCTGTTTGTTTTTTGTTTTGTTTTTTCTGTTTTTGTTTTTTGTTTGTTTGTTTGTTTGTTTTTGGGGTGGGTTGTTTTACGACATATCAACCTCAATGGGTTATTTAATGCCAACAAAATTTTTCTTGCTGGTAATATTTTTTTCCTTCATAAATCTATTTTCGGTAATGTATGGCTGGCAATAATTTTTTAAAAATTATTTCTGATAATAAAATCTATTTTTACACTTTCACAGTGTTATGACACCAGTTTGGAGGTTAACTATTTGCCCATAGCTGGGACCCTAACAGGTACTACCACTCCTGGGAACACCAACAATTAAGAGGTGGTTCCACGCTCCTCAAAAGCTCCTGACGAGAGGCCTTGCTGCTGGACATAGTTTATCGCCTTACCCAGGACGCGGACGTAGTTTATCGCCATACCCAGGACGCGGATCTAATTTATCATCATACCGAGGACGGGGGAGCCATGCTTGGTGTAGCATTATACTTATCTTATTACTAGTTTTAATTTATTTTACTACTGTCCCTTTTAATCACAATATTCTCAACTGATAGTCTTCAATTTTTATTTCTCTATTCGCTGTGCCTATTCGGAACGTTGGCAATTATGGCAGTCCAAAATCATCTGGGCTCCTTCATTACATTGTATAGGAGTTCATATGGTTTTCCTTTCTTCCTCTACATTCAACACTGTTGTCTGCATATCTTGTTAATATTGCTGCCGCCAATAATGAATCCTGGTAGGGCTTCTAATTCTCTCAGAATCGTCTCGCTGCATAGATTGAATAAATCCGGTAGGAAGACACATCCTTGTCTTACACACGTCGTCTTTAATCAATAGATATTAAAACAAAGACGCC